CCAACATTAAGTATTTAATGTTATTATTCATAAAACACCACATCATGTTTTTGGCATCGTTGAAAAGCAAAGTCAACTTTATAAATTTTACACAACTATTTTCACCGGGACCATTACCTTTAGGTTACTATAACTTTGATTTTATAAATGTTAGAAAAATAACTTAGTTGAAATGCTATGTGAAGAAACTAATCTAGAATTATGATATTTTGTAGGAAACTTCAGGAAAATGATTTTACTATTTATAGTAGAAAGGAGATGAATATTTGAAAAGCTAAGATTCTTATATTTATACTTATTGAGAGTAGAGCCTTTATTGAAACCTTTTTCAAACTAATACTTACACTTTTAAAAAGTGAGGGAAAGTTTTGTGTTTTGAACTTTAGAAAGTAAAGAAAAAGAAAAGTCAAAAGAAAATATGTGAGGAGAAACTTGAGGAGAAGCCTAATATAAAATTGGTTTCACTTGAATCTTTTTAAATGAAAAGACTTGGAAGCAATCCTAAGCTTATTCTTTTTTAAAGGTATTGGTCAAATTGGTATAAATAAGGTGCTTAAATTCTGTTTTTAAACTTCCTATGAACCTTTAGTTTGACAAGTTTCAATAACTTTTGAAGTAAATAGAAAATCATGATTCCTAAGTTGAATATGAGATATTCTTACTCTAGTTCTAGGTCGATTTACTAAAATTTCTCCTAAGTTACACTATGACATTTCTGAGACAAATTTATAGAAAGCACTATTGAGACCCACTACCTCAAATCAACAAATTTAGTTTTTAAAGTTATATTGTTGCTTGATGACAAGTAACAGTTTAGTTTGGGAGTTTATGATACACGCCTAAAAAATAACTAATTTTTCACATATATTTAATGCTTAATTTTAGTGATATTGTACTTTAAAGGAAGTTATTTTGCATGTTTTTTAGAAGCTATTTTGCATGTTTTTGACTTCAAGTACAAGAAATGGACTTTTGGAGAAAAGGAAGCAAAAATGGTACGGAGTAAAAGCGAGCAAGAAGTAAAATTATGACCTGACACATTTCGATATCGATATGTCTTTCTATGCTTAACCTCTTTTACATTTATCACATGTTTTTTAATGAAATTGTACTTTAAATAAATGTTATTTTTATGCTTATTTTGTAGGTATAACTGTCAGGAGAAAAACACAACTGAAACTGGGTGAAATTGAGCTGAAACGGAGCTAAATGGAGCGAAACAGTGGAGCTGTGTAGAGAGCTGCCGAATGGCACCAAAACTGGAGCCAAACAACGCCTGAATCCATAAATAGTGCCAAACGATGTCGTACGACACCAAACGACACCAGGAACAGTTATGGAGGCCTAGGGACGCATCTTTTCGCAA